GAGACCATATAACACTGGTCTTGAAAGACCTACATTGGCTCCCAGTACATTTCCGAGCACAATTCAAAGTGTTGGTGCTGACCTTTAAAGCCCAAAACAGCCTCGGTCCAGTATATCTGAAGGAGCGTCTCCACCTCCATCGTTCTGCCCAGACACCGAGGTCCAGCGCCTAGGGCCTTCTGGCGGTTCCCTCACTATGAGAAGCCAAGTTACAGAGAACCAGGCAGAGGGCCTTCTCGGTAGTGGCACCCGCCCTGTGGAACGCCCTCCCACCAGATGTCAAAGAGAAAAATAACTACCAAACTTTTAGAAGACATCTAAAGGCAGCCCTGTTTAGGGAAGATTTTAATGTTTAATAGGTTATTGTATTTTAGTTTTTTGTTGGAAGCCACCCAGAGTGGCTGGGGAAACCCAGCCAGATGGGAGGGTATAAATAATAAATTATTATTATTATTATTATTATTATTATTATTATTATTATAAACTTAGTTGGTCTATAAGGTACTACTGGACAATTTTTTATTTATTTTTACTTCGACTGCGTCAGACCAACATGGCTACCTACCTGAATCTAGTCTCCTGTAACAGTTACAAGAAAACATTGTGACTAAGGGCAGTGTACACATTAAAACAAAGCTAGGTTGTTCTTTTTTCTCTCTCTTTTCGAACGGATGATATCTGCATCAAAACATGGTATGTCATTTTTAAAAAATGACAAGAGAGATACGGGAGAGATTTGGATTGTGGATAAGAGTGTGTGTAGAGTGCTTCTCAAAACGTCAGAAGGAGCACACCGGATGCAAATGGGAGTGTGTAAAAAAAGGTAAAGGTAAAGGACCCCTGGACGGTTAAGTCCAGTCAAAGGCAACTATGGGATTGCAGTGCTCACTTTTCAGGCCGAGGGAGTCAGTGTTTGTCCATAGACAGCTTTCCGGGTCATGTGGCCAGCATGACTAAACCGTTTCTGGCGCAACGGAACACTGTAACAGAAGTCAGAGTGCACGGAAACGCCGTCAACCTTCTCACCACAGCGGTACCTATTTATCTACTTCCACTGGTGTGCTTTCGAACTGCTAGGTTGACAGGAGGTGGGGCAGAGCAACATGAGCTCACTCCAATTTCGTGGGGATTTGAACCACTGACCTTCTGATTGGCAAGACCAAGAGGCTCAGTGGTTTAGACCACAGTGCCACCCGCATCCCCAGATGCAGGGAGGAACCACGAGGGTCAACTAGTCCAACTACCTGCAATGGAGGAATCAAGTGAAAGCACAAGCCTGCTTGACATAGCGTGGGTGAAAGACATTGCAGTTTATCAACATGCATTTTATGCACTGGAATGTGTTTTCCAATGAGATAATCCTAAAAAGCCCAGCGATGGAAAAGCAAACACAAAAAAAACACAAGCAGGTGAAGCTACAATACCGAGTGCTGAAATTGTGAAGATGCAAAGGGTAATTTCATTCATTTGTTTTGCAATTAATACAGATTTTATGGCCAATTTTATGCCTCCTCCAACTTCTGCAGCAATGGGCTTTGAATCACTTTGCAGACTGTTATGAGAATAACTGAACTCTGAAGCACTTGAGTCAGCAATCTGAAGTTTTTATGAGTCAAATTCTTTCTCAAATGAATTTCAGATGAGCTATGTTCATTTCATATAATTATCATATATGTATTGCTTGCTGTTGCATTTCAGAAAATTTCTGGAAATGCTCATTAAATTCATCTATGCATCTTTTTAATGGAAATTTGTGGTTGATTGTGTGCTTTTTTTTTTATAACTATAAATGGTATTTGGAGAGAAAAAAGAAAGAAAAGAAAATCAAGAAAACAAAGCCAAAAATAAGCCGTTCACATTATGCTGTGTTTTCCCATTCATCATAATCCAATTACACATGTGCAAAATCCTAGCTACTGAGGGGATAATACATAATAAATCCAGTTATATTTCTATTAGGGTCTGAAACAGAATCCGCTTTGCCTTCAATTTGACTGAGATGCCATTATTGCATGGAATGTATTTTAGCAGGAATTTCTTTCAGCAAATTGTATTTTCGCAACATAACCTAAGCACTGTATTTGACAGGAGAAGTCTTAAATGACAGCTGCCCAAGTTGATAACCTGCATTTCAGCTTCAAATCTTTAGCCTCTCAGCTTTCCCGTTACATCTTCTGCAAGTGACATGTTCAAGGAATCGTGTTTTAGTAAAGAGGACGCCAAGGAGAAGAATCACTTGGGAAACAAAAGCGGAGCACTTTGGAATTTCAGCAGGCCAGTTAGGGATGTGCTTAAACCACTCAGCCCATCACTTGTGCCTCTTTATCCCTGACTCCAACTGCAACTAAGAGATAGCAGTTTAAACAGACAATGCAGAGCTAAAATTGTAACAGGGATGCTATCTCACAGATAATGAAGCATTTGGGATCAATTTACTTGGTAAAAACATGCATTGTTCATCTCTATAATCAGTAATCAGCCAGGGGAAGCAGACCCCCCAAAAAGCGCTACTAGCTTTGCCATTAACAGCTAGTTATCTCCAGTTATATCTGACATAAGTCTAGCAAATCCTATCAGATGGGTCAAAAGTTAAGTGTAGAGCCACTGAGTTACATTTTTTCTTGCATACAGTGGTGCCCCGCAAGACGAATGCCTGGCAAGATGGAAAACTCGCTAGACGAAAGAGTTTTCCGTTTTGGAGGTGCCTCGCAAAACGAATCTGCTATGGGCTTGCTTCGCAAGACGAAAATGTCTTGCGAGTTCCTGGGTGTGTTTTTTCCTTTTCCCCCTCTTTTTCTAAGTCGCTAAGCCGCTTATCTGCTTATCCGATAAGCTGATAAGCTGCTAAAAGCCGCTAAAAGCCGCTAAAAGCCGCTAATAGCGCTAATAGCGCTAATCCACTAATCCGTCAATGGGCTTGCTTCGCAAGAGGAAAAAACCGCTAGACGAAGCGACTCCCAGAACGGATTCTTTTCGTCTTGCGAGGCACCACTGTATTAGCATGACATATGGGTGAAGAACCTGTGTGTTCTTCCAAATGTGGTGTGACTAAGAAAAGGTAAAGAACCCCTGGACAGTTAAGTCCAGTCAAAGGTGACTATGGGGTTGCAGCACTCAGTGGCGAAACTGCATGCTCTGCTACCGGGGGCGGAGACCAGGTGTGGGCGTGGCTTGCACGCTCGGGGGGCATGACGCATGTCCCAGGAGGTGTGGCACGCATCCTGAGGGTGTGGCACACTGCCCGCAAGGGTGCGGCACACGTTCTCAGGGCATGACACACTGTCTTGGGGGGGCGTGGAGCACGTGGGGGTGTGTGCAGCGCATGTCTGAGAGGGCCGCCGCGATGGCACCCTACCAGAATAGTGGTGCCGGGGGCGGTCCGCTCCCTCCGCACTCCTGTTCCTCCACCAGTGGCGGCACTCATCTCGCTTTCAGGCCAAGGGAGCCGGCGTTTGTCCACAGACAGCTTTCTGGGTCATGTGGCCAGCATGACTAAACTGCTTCTGGCACAACGGAACACCGTGACGGAAACCAAAACGCACGGAAACACCGTTTACCTTCCTGCTGCAGTGGTACCTATTTATCTACTTGCACTGGCATGCTTTCGAACTGCAAGGTTGGCAGGAGCTGGGGCAGAGCAATGGGAGCTCACCCCATTGCAGGGATTTGAACCGCCGACCTTCTGATCAGCAAGCTCAAGAGGCTCAGTGGTTTAGACCACAGCACCACCCGCGTCCTGTTGTGTGACTACAACTCTCATCATCCCTAATCAATGGCCTTGTCAGCTGGGGCTGATGGGAGATGGAGTCTGACCATATTCCTGGATATTTCCATCCTGGATGTTACAGTTCTCAAAACTGTGGCGCATTCCACTTGATGCTGTTTCCCTAATTCCCTGAATCAATAGCCCCTTACTGAAATTTTTGCTCCTCCCTGCCCCAGCACACACATTCTATGCCTCTAGCCATTATTTGCCATCACTTATTCTGCTTCTGCATCATCATTTCTTTTTAAGAACAGTTTAACTGAGCAACATAAAATAAAAATAAAACGTGGAAAAAGAAAGCAAATGTATACTACAGTGGTACCTCGGTTGTCGAACTTAATCCATTCCGGAATACCGTTAGACTTCCGAAACTTTCGAAAATCGAGGAGCAATGGGTGGTCGGCAAACTCAATTGAGAAAATTTAGAAATATGCCTTGGAAGCCATTTGAGTAAACAATTACTTCAAGGTTTTCAGTGTTTGGGTTCTGAAATGTTCGGCTTTCGAGACGCTCGAAAACCGAGGTTCCACTCTATATTGTTATAAGCATTAACAATTAAGGTAGATAAAGAACTACAAACATTTAGAAGACATCTGAAGACAGCCCTTTATCAGAAAGGTTGTTAATGTTTGATGTTTTACTGTGTTTTTGTATGTGCTCTAAGTTGCCCAGTGGGGCAGGTTATAAATATTATTATTGTTGTTGTTGTTATTCCTTATATACTTATCTAATATATGGGTATTATTATTATCCAAATACATATAAGTTTATTTTAAACCCACTATATTTTGTATAAATGAATTCCAAATGTCATTCTACTTGTCTATGTCTATAAGCAATCCGTTCGTAAATTACAGGTGTTGTCATATCTTCGATCCATTGATTAAATGGAGCCGTACACTAATCTTTCCAGTGAATCAGTCTTTTGGACATAGTATTGGCACGAAGAACCCATTTACGTTGTCCAGTTGTCAAATCCCACAGAGTAGGGATATAGTTCAAAAGAATATTTTCCTCTGGAAATTTTAAACATGTGTTTTAAAGAAGCATTGTGCATAATTCTGAATATGTGTGGTATTTATACCAAACGCATGAATAGCTTCCACGAATTCGGCCAAACTTTACTGCAATTGTGCATCCTGCAGCAACAAATTCCTTGTGCTCTCTTCTAAAAAACATCTCTCTCTCTCTCTCTCTCTCTCTCTCTCTCTCTCCTTTTTCCTTTTTCATTTTTCAATTGAATACAGTTATTGTGAGGCACTCCCATAGCATATGTTCCCTCTGTCCTCTAAGATACCTAGCTGTCAAGTTTTTATACACTTCTGATTCCCCCCTCCACACTATTCAATGAAGGCCTGGTGTATAATTTTCCTTTGGTGTAAAGCCATACTGTAGTTCAAGAGGTTTTTTGCAGTTCCTTTCCTCTTTTATCTCCCTGCTGTTTTGCTTCCTCCTTCCCAAAGGCATTCAAATTGCATGCTATTTGGTACAGTTCATTAGCCTGATATAAACGAGGGCTACCATGTGGCCAATTTAGAGTCCAATAAATAATGGAGGGTGGTGTTTGTGTGTTTTTGGTTTAGTTTTTTTAATCATTCTCGAGAGCCATTATTCTAATTGAACTGCAAGTGCGTAGTCACACTATGCAAATGGAAACGTCAAAACATAAATATTGGCTGTGGTGACATTAACTGCATGCATAATACGAAAGTTAACGTATTTGGAAATTCTGAATAAATGAGCTATGTTCTGTTTTTAATTTTAGAATCTTTGTATTGTTGCTGTTGTTAGGCTGTTATTATTAGTCTCTTTTTCATAATCAGCTTTTTAAATTCAGCTCTGTTTATGGTAAATTTGCTTCACTATGTCATTTCATATATATATATTTTAGAAAGCTTCTTATTCATATAGATTCAGCTAGCAGAATCTATAGCGTAATAAAAATAAGAACAAAAACAAACCAATATTTCCTCATCCCACAACACATTTAACAAGGCATCAGATCTCAATCAAACAAAGGCCAAATGAAGAGGAACATTTTCATCTGGCGCCTAAAGGTGTATAATGAAGGTGCCTGCCAAACCTCCTTCTGGAGAACTTTCCAGAAGGAGGGAGCCACTGCAGAAAAGGCCTATTCTCATATTGCCACCTTCCAGAAATTTCATGGAGGATGCACATAAAGAAGGGCCTCAGAAGATGATCTCAGGGTTTCGTGTAGGTTCTCTTTTCTTGTAAATCTATTTATTTAATTTTCCAAATAAATATTCACATTCACATAATAACATAATATATAAAAGCAAGATTCTAAAGAATCTCCTGGTCTTCCCTCCTCCCCTTGGTGGGTCTTATTGTTACTCCTTTCCTTCTGCATCTTTAATATTGATCCAAATCTTTTTATCTCCATTATGTCCATAGTTCATCATTACAAGTGTTATTCCAATCCCAGTAACAATTTTAACTGGTTAAAATGGTTTTAAAGATAAATTGTAAATTTCCCCCATTCCTTTTTAAAGTCTTGGTCTTCCTGATTTCTGATTCTTCTGGTCATTTTTGCCATTTAGGCATAGTCCATCAATTTAATCTGCCATTCTTCTCTCGTAGGGACGATTTCCAGTAGGTTCATATGGAAAGAGGCGGTCCTTGAGGTATTGCGGTCGTGAGCCATTTAAGGCTTTATAGGTCAAAGCCAGCACTTTGGATTGGCCCTGGAAACTAATTGGCAGCCAATGCAGTCGGGCTGGGATTGGTGTAATATGCTCAAACCTGGGCACTAAATTCTGCACTAGCTAAAATGTCTGAATCATCCTCAAAGTCATCCTTACAGTTCAAGGACACAATCCAGCCAGGGAAAGCATGTAGGGAGGGCATGGAACCGAGCCATAGCTGTCAACGTTTCCCTTTTATAAGGGAAATTCCCTTATTCCGAATAGGATTCCTCGCAAGAAAAGGGGAAAGTTGACAGCTATGAACAGAGCTGGAATGGGGGAATGGTCTCGAGAGAGTCCCAAGGACAAAATTAGAACGACCTGCAAGGCCAGTCTGCGGGCTGGAGGTTTTGTGATGGATTTAGATTTTTAGTATTTATAAAATACAAATGGACTGTTAAGAGTAGAAAAGTTGTGTGGGATTAAAGGTAAAACCCAGAGATATTGCAAAAATATATTCATAGCATCCTGCATTTAGAAACCATCAGGCCACTCATGATAAATTCTTTTCAAAATATGAATATCTATGATGCTGAAGTCTTGCAGCATCAGAAGACATCCCAGAGCAATAGACAACTTGAAAAGGTATAATTTCATCTACTTACCATAGAGACTCAGAGCTCATTTCATGATTTTAATTATTCTGTTTAGCTATTACAGCTTTAAAGTGTTTTGCAGTAATCAGCAGTTATTAGGCATAAAACTATAAGATATTCATTTTCAAAACACTTAATCTTAATTACATTGTAAATGCCGACATTAACAGATTACACAGCAGTTTGTTTGGCTGCCTCATTAAAGATTGTTGGGAAGTGTTTTAAATGCCGTAATAATAAATGCATACTAATACCCTAGGAATTTAAAGCAAGTATATTTATGCTGCAGAAAGATTGTGGAATTAAACACGGCCACTTTAAAGCATAAGAGGTTTCTGTATAGTAAAAATATTAAATTAGAGTAAAATGGACAGGAGGGTCCAAATCGCATTTTATCTGGACCACAAAATGTCCAGAGAATCCTAAAAATTCATAGGTAGTTCTATGCATACACACTGATTAACCATTACCCACCAAATTCTACCCCTATTGTAACATCATTGATTGTCAGGATGCTGTCAGCGGCTCCCAGCTGGTTGCCCAGGAACGTATAAAGAAAAGAAAAAGTTTCTTAGCATCCTTTTTTATTTCAATCCTTACAGAGGTTATAGAGCCCAGACTCTTGGATAATGGCGTTGTCCCAGGGGAAGGTCTACTCCCCGTTTCTCCCACTTCCTCATTCTCACCATCTCTTCTACGGATGCTGCTACATGCCCTCTGTCTTTGAGCTCTTTGCTCTCCTACTTTTAAGGCTCGCTGGCTTCTGGGAGATGGAGGGTCTGGAATGCTTTCTAATGACGATGTGTCAGCTGGGTGTTGCTCTGGCTCTCCCATGATTTCCCAGCTTTTCCCCTCATCTGCCTCTGAGACGCTTCCTCCCTCAAACCACTGTTGTAAATCTATACTGTCTTCCTCTTCCTCCTCCCTGGAAGGGTCAGGATGGAGAGGTGGTCTCCAAAATTCCTCCTCTGCCCAGTCCCTGACATTGATAGAGGCACATTTTTTTTTTTCTCAGCAACTAAATCTCTCAAAGATGATTAAAAGACTTTTGGTTTAAATCTGGGTTAAGGAAACTGGACCACACTGGGAGTTACATCTCCAACTTCCCAATCATCATGGTCAATGGCCTAGAGGTCATGAGAGTTGTAGTCTAAAGATTCCTCACCCCTGATCTACCTTATTAAAGCAGCACAAGAAGAAAAATAATGGAAGGGTAGGTTAGGCATGCACAATGATTATTTCTGCAACAGCAATGAACAGCAGTGACCTGCGCTAAAATGGGATAAAAATGTCACGCCGTCCAAGTATCATTGGCAGAAGGGGGGGAAAGAAAGTACTTTTCGGTTAGGTAGGTCTCTGTACTCACATTAGTCCAGGGCACTCGTTTCTCTGTCACCTAGGAAATCCATGCTTTATTAGCCACACCAGATTCCTGGAATGAAAACAACCCAATTTCATTTTACCACATTTACACAGACCTCTGAAGGGCCCCCTAAAAGAGGTGAAGGGCATTTAGTCACAGACATAAAGTGTAAGATCCTCTCTAGCATTCAGAATTTATTTCAGACTTTCTGGTCTAAACAGAACCATAAACTTGTCAAATGCCCAGCTGCTTGCCATCCACATAGTGTTACAGTCTATTATGTTCCCAGAAACATTAAGGCTACACAGATCAATCCTCAGAATAGCTCTCATCCACACACCCTCCTCCCAGGAACTTCTTGGCTCCTGCCAGCGAAACATCTTGCTTGCCGGTCTCCGAGGTGGAACCCAATCTCTCTAACATCTTTAAGGAAACACATGACTAGGATCAAATGTTCCTAATCAGCAACCAGCTGGCGCTGCCTCCGCCTAGGTAACTTTGAAGTCCAATTGGTAATTAAATTGGGGGAGAGAACAAACCATCAGGACTTTCCACAAAATGGCATTGTGTAGGGAGGGAAACATACAATTTTTCTCTGACAATGAGAGGAAATTATTCCATTTAAGGAATAACTTAATACTATATGATCTTTTCTTTGTTTGTTTTGTGATGCCATATCATTTAATGCAGTTCCCATTCCACTCCAGGAGCATGTCAATGCAGTGTTGTTGTTCTTTAGTCATTTAGTCGTGTCCGACTCTTCGTGACCCCATGGACCAGAGCACGCCAGGCATTCCTGTCTTCCACTGTCTTTCAATGCAGTACTGATGGTCAGTTTCCCAAAACAGAATTGTACTTACTTCTTGTTGTGTGTTTTAGATGGCATTTTGATATTATTATTTTGCTTTGAATCTTCTTTGACAATCACTCGTAGCTGAGTCAGATTGTCTTCCATGACCACTGTTTTAACAGTGAGTCTGTAAGTGGCTGTGGAGGCCAATTCTGGATCCACACGTCCTTCCACAGTGGGGGCATAGGTTTCCGGGTGGGAGAGGGTTTGCCAAGTGTGCCTTCCTCTTAGCATGTTTCTCCCTTTTGTCCTGCGTTCCAGCATCTTCAAAGCACATGACACCTTCGGTAAAGGCTGTTCTCCAAATGGAGCGCTCGCAGGCCAGTGTTTCCCAGTTGTCAGTGTTTATGCTACTTGTTGTTGTTTTTTTTTTTTTTTGATTACCCAGTATTCAACAAAATAGTTGCATGTGTACAAGAATAACTGCTCTTTCCCCCCTGTGTATCTCCATGCTATCCCCAAATATGACCAAATATGATCTCCCATCAGATGTCATAGAGATAAACAACTACCTGACATTTAGAAGACGTCTGAAGGCAGCCCTGTTCAGGGAAGTTTTTAATGTGTCACATTTTAATGTATTTTTCATCTTTGTTGGAAGCCGCACAGAGGGGCTGGGGAAACCCAGCCAGATGGGTGGGGTACAAATAAATTATTGTTTATTATTATTATTATTATTATTATTATTATTGGAAACCCTGGAACAGATCTGGGTGGGGAGAAGGGGAGAATCACAGATTCTTAGAGATTGAAGGAACTGAAGGGTCCTCAAATCCAAGCCCCTTCAATGCAGGAATCTTAGCTAAAGCATCCATGACAGATGTCCACCCAACGTCTGCTTGTTCCATTTCACAAGGAGAAATTCTTAATCTTTACTTTAGACTTAGCGCTATAGCAAATACAACCCCTATTATTCACTGGTCACCCCCTGATTTCACTGGCATCTTTTTAGCACAGGATATAAATGCAGTTATTTGTTACATTTATATCCTGCCCTTCCTCTAAGCCACTTGAGGCAATGACATATATGATTCTCTCCCTCACCCACATTTAATCCTGCCAAGTAGCTTACTCCAAGAGAGAGTAACTGGCCCTCACTCAGCCAGTGTGTTTTGTGGCTGAGCAAGGGCTTTGTACACAGGTCTCCCTGGTCATAATCCAACACTCTAACCACTGCACCATACTGGTCTTACAAACTCAGCTCAGACCTGAACATCTATACCGTTTTCGGATGAACTTACTTCTCTGTGCTGAGATTACAGGCACAAACTGCTCTGTCTTAGCTAGCTTTCTAGGTCACACCAGTAGGTCCCATTTCTCAAAGTGCTTGAACTGAATAAGTTTCTAGCCGTGAATAAATAGCTTTAGACCCCCTACTGCTGCAGGACTTCCCAGTATAGACAAGGACAAATAAACCCAGAGTTCACGTGTGCTACTCATTCCGACAATTTATGAGTAGAGAGAACTCTGGGGAGCTGGAACAGTTGGTGAGTTACCTGAATATCACAGCACACAATGTTTCCCTCCTCTTTGCTTGAAATATTCTAGGTAGGAAAATAAGAAAGAAACAGTACAACATGAAAGGGATGTGCTTCGGTCTGCCATGTTTACTCAGACAAGCATCCCTCTGCCCCCCCCCTTGCCCTGGAGGCAGAGGTTGCCTCCAGGCTATCACTATTTTGTGGTAGGGATTCAGTCACATGCCAGAAATACAGGTTTGCAACAATCAGAGTGGGTTAAAGGGCTCTGGGGCAAGCAATCCACTTTTCATTTTTTATTTTCATGGATTTTTTTATACTTGGGGAAAATCTGAATGTGGTCCATTTATTTAATGCTGACATATAAAATTACTCTAAACCCTGGCCCATTGTCTCATTGCTCATTCACTTCTTAGAAAACCCAGGGTTTGCCATGGCACATTTTATATTCTTTGAACGTACATTTGTAAACAAGAACACATGGAAGCATTCCTCAAACTCTGATCCTTTGCTCATGTTGTTATAACATGACAAGCCAGCCACAGTTTTTCTAGATTTTCAGCATAAGGGTTTGATCTGAGGGCAACTTCATACATGAGCAATTTTTTAAAAAAAATCAGAAGCTGATTCCAAGCACAAATAAACTAATATGGTAGTGTGGGGGTGAATGGGAGGGTATGGATCTGTAAATGACAGCTGTTGCTTGTGAGGAAGCTCTGATTTGTAAATTGGAGCCAGTAGAAACTGGTCCACTGGGGCTACTGGGTCACAGCCCTCCCATGAAAAATGTCAAGCAGTGTTAGTGTTATTTAGCTCAATCCCTGATCTGGACCTTGTGGAGCAACAAACGAGCCTTCCAGCACAAAATGAGTTTCTTTTTTTCTTTTTTCTTTTTTAATTTTATTTCAAAACCAAAAAGAAACAAAATACACACATCAAATTCAAAATCCATATTCGTTTCCTAACATAGATTACCTAAATTAAAATATACATGATTACTCTAGGCTTCCCTTTGCTGTATGTAAATACATCGCAGTTACGAAATTTATATTATAAATAATATGATAGATTCCCACATACCCCCACTCCCCTTCACCCATGTGTGATCTCAATATTTTATTTATTCCATCTTATTGTGTTGTTATAATTTAATAATTATTCAATTGTTTCTATTGTTATTTTCTTGCTTACCCCTGCACGTTTTACGCATTATCTACTAATTTTTCAATTCCGGAACAATATTTTTTCATGTATTCCTTCACTCCATCCCACTCACAAGATGAGTTTCAAAGCTTTACTTCAGAACAGTCCTAAATGCTAGTTACAAAAGAGAAATGTTTCAAGGAAAAAATACAAAGTAACACATTGCACTGAAGTAGCAGGCAACGTGGTTCAGCCCTTTGCCCTTTATGAAGTTCAGTAAACTTTCCTCTCTCTGCTCCCAGAGAGAGTTCCTAAGCTTGTTCAATATTGTGGAGCTTAGCATCATCTGCCACTTCCTACTGCTAGCCATCCCTGACTTCTCAAATTTCCTCTCCTACTGTAAGAGATCTGCAGCTTCTCTTTCCGGCTATGGCTCATTGGATAGCCAACGGAAAAGAACCAGCCTCTGAATCATGGGACTCCTACCTCGCTCGGTTCGACTGCTACCTCCAAGCCAACGAGCTGACAGAAGTATCAAAGGAGCGGAAGCGGGGCCTATTCCTCAGCCTCTGTGGGCCTGAGGTGTTTGAGATGGCCCGAGCATTGGTTGCGCCTGAAGCAATCCAGGCAACACCATGGGACACGATCCAAGAGAAGATCTGCAACCACTACGCGCCAAAGCCGTCGAAGATTGCTGCCCACCATGCATTTTACCACCGGAACCAGGCAGAGGGGGAGTCAATCAACAACTACACCACCGCCCTGCGACAGGCTGCAAGGCACTGCAAATTCCGAGACTTAGACGGTGCCCTGATGGATCAAATCGTCTGCGGGGTCCGGGACATCCATCTGCAATGGCGTCTCCTCGCCAAGCCAGACCTCACACTGCAGAAAGCCATTGAGGAGGCTGTGGCCTCAGAAGCTGCTGAACGCTCCGCCCAGGAGATCTGCAAGGCCAGCAGCCCGCGTCTTGCTAGGGAGCCAGTTCCAGTGCATCACGAAGAGGCCAGCAGTAATGAGGCATCCTCCAGTGAAGATGATGATGTGCACCAGACAAAGCGGGAGCACAGGAAGTTCCAACAGAAGTCCAAGGGCCAACAGGAATGCGCCGGCTGTGGAGGCAACCATTCCCATGCCAAGTGTTGATTCAGAGACGCCATCTGTCGCACGTGTTCCAGAAGGGGCCACATCGCTAAGGTCTGCCGATCAGCTCCGTCTGACACCCCCCCTTCACCGACTCGCAAGTCCAAGTCTTCACTCCAGTCTGCCAAGGAAAGCTGTTTCACTCTCCCAACTGCCGCTGCCCGTCTGGAACCACGATTGGCCAAACCGACTCGCCTACGCAACGGAAGCTGAACGTCACAGTGCTCATTGAAGGAGCTCCATGTGACATGGAGATCGACACCGGGTCTGCCCTGTCCATCGTGTCTTGGAGCACCATCAAAAGACTGGTACCCAGAGTGTCCGAAAAGCAACTCGGCTCTCACCGCGTACACCTGAGAGACTACCAGGGAAACGACATTCCCGTGGTAGGCGTTGGCCGGTTCCGGATTGCCTTCAAGGATTTTTCGGGCTTCTCCGACTGGTGGTGGTCGAAGGTCAGCGGCCAAGCCTCCTAGGGCTAGACTGGTTTGATGCCCTCGGCCTGGAAGTCACTGGCATCAACTGCATCTCTAACGCAGAGACTGAGGGTCTGGTCAAAGACTTTGCCGAGGTTTTTGACGGCACTTTGGGGCAATATACAGGTACGCCCATCTCCTTTAGCCTTGATCCACAAGTCGCCCCCATCAAGCTAAAGCTACGCCGGGTTTCCTTTGCTCTCAAGGCTAAGGTGGACGAACAACTGGACAAGCTGATCGCCCAAGGAGTTTTGGAGCCGGTTGACCACGCCAAGTGGGAAACCCCCATCGTCACGCCTGTCAAGCCAGACGGGTTGGTGAGAATCTGCGCTGACTACAAGTGCACGATCAACAAGGCACTTCAGCAGCACGCTTATCCGGTTCATGTTGTCCAACACCTGCTGCATTCCCTGGGTGAGGGTAAGGTCTTCGCTAAGCTGGACCTTGCCCAAGCCTATCAACAACTGCCCGCCGATGATGCCACTGCTGAAGCCCAGATGATCGTCACCCACCAAAGGGCATTCCGTTGCCACCGGTTGCAGTTCGGGGTGAGTGTGGCTCCTGGCATTTTCCAAAACCTTATGGAGCGTCTCCTGCAAGGGCTTCCGGGCATGGTACCATATTTTGATGACGTCTTGGTGTCCGCAGACTCACACCAGCAGCTGTTCGAGCGCCTCCGTGCCGTGCTGACCAGGTTCCAAGAGGCCGGGCTCAAGGTAAAGAGGGAGAAGTGCCAGATCGCTGTTCCACAGGTGGAGTTCCTGGGCTATCTTATCGACGCCTCCGGCCTTCACCCGACCACATCCAAGATCCGCGCTATCCAGCAGGCTCCCATCCCAAAGAACAAGACAGAGTTGCAGGCGTTCCTGGGGCTGCTGAACTTTTATAACATGTTCCTGCTCCACAAAGCCACGGTGGCTGAGCCTCTTCACCGACTCCTCAGCATAAAGACGCCTTGGTCCTGGGGTCATCGGGAGATGGTGGCCTTCAACGCGGTCAAGGCTCTCCTTTCATCGGACAGTGTGCTGGTACAGTACAGTGAAGCCAGGCCATTGGTCCTTGCCTGCGACGCCTCACCTTTTGGCATCGGCGCTGTCCTTAGTCACCGTTTTCCAGACGGAAGAGAAGCACCGCTCGCCTACTTTTCCAGGACGCTATCTCTGACTGAACGGAATTACAGCCAGCTCGACAAGGAGGCACTGGCACTTGTGGCTGGAGTGAAGAGGTTCCATGAATACCTCTATGGCAGGACTTTTGACCTCATCACTGACCACAAGCCGCTCCTGGGCCTCCTCGCCGGTGATCATCCAACTCCACTGGTCCTCTCGCCGCACATGCTGCGATGGACTGTTTTCCTGGCTGCCTACCACTACCGGCTCGTCCATCGCCCGGGGAAATCGATGGGCCATGCCGACGCCCTCAGCCGTTGCCCTCTTCCAGCGTTTGTGGAAGACCCGGCTCCAGCGTCATCGCTCCTCCTGATTGAGGATCTTCCTGCAGCGCCTGTATCGGCTGCCACTGTGGCCTCTGCATCTGCCCAGGATCGCACCATCAGCCGTGTGCTCAACTGGGGGTGGAGGGGGTGGCCACAAGGGCCTTTTGCATCGGAGTTCCAACCGTTCACAACCAGACAACATGAACTCTCGGCTCATCGCGGCTGTCTGCTGTGGAGAGACCGCGTCGTGATTCCCCAAAGACTCCGCCAACGCATCCTGGAGGCTCTGCACATTGGCCACCTGGGAATCGTCAAAATGAAGGCGTTGGCTCGGTGTTATGTCTGGTGGCCTAACATGGACGATGCCATCACTGCCTGGGTGTCCGCCTGTCAAGCGTGCCAAGAATCGAGGCCTGCACCACCGGCAGCTAAGGGACACACCTGGGAGATGCCGAAGACACCCTGGTCGAGGGTGCACATCGATCTGGCCGGCCCCTTTCACGGCCGGACCTTTATGGTAGTGGTGGACGCCTATTCCAAATGGCTGGAGGTGGCCCTGATGCCCTCCACCACTACCGAGGCTGTCATCCGGGTGATGCGAGGCCTGTTGGCGACACATGGGTGTCCTGATGTCCTTGTCTCCGACAACGGACCGCAGTTCACGTCAGGCACTTTTGAGCGGTATCTTTTGGGACTGGGCATCCGCCATGCCCTAACGGCACCATTTCACCCATCCAGCAACGGGCAAGCGGAGAGAATGGTGCGCTCGGAAAAAGAGGCACTGGCGTGCCTGGACCAGGGAGACTGGCACGAGCGGGTCACCGAATACTTGTTCGTGCAACACATCACCCCTTGTGCGGCCACAGGGCGGAGTCCTGCTGAACTGCTTATGGGCCGCCGCCTCAGGTCACCGTTCGACCGGCTGCACCGGGACTTTGCCGTGGCCGAACCCCCAGGCTGTGCCAACGCGCCACGGTCATTTGTTCCAGGAGAGAGACCAGGTCTTTGCCTGGAACTATGTGGGGGACATTCCTTGGGTGCCAGCCACAGTAGTGGGAGTCACTGGACCTCGCTCGTACCAGGTGGCACTTGAAGACGGAAGGTAAACGGCGTTTCCGTGCGCTGCTCTGGTTCGCCAGAAGTGGCTTAGTCATGATAGCCACATGACCCGGAAGCTGTACACCGGCTCCCTCGGCCAATAAAGCGAGATGAGCGCCGCAACCCCAGAGTTGGTCACGACTGGACCTAATGGTCAGGGGTCCCTTTACCTTTACCTAAAGGGTGAGCTAGCTTTTTTTTAAAAAAAAAAAAACCTTAATCATTTACCCTTCATTTTTTTGAATTGGGGATCTTGGATGGTAAATAGTGGGTGGTTTGCATTGCGTAAGTGTAAACAAAACATGAATTCAAGAAAGTATATCATATGGTATGGCTTAATTTATAAATAAGAGGTATGGAGTCAATCTCATTTGAAAATTACATTTGGAACCTCTTACATCAATGTCCATAGATGTGCAGAGAATGAATGATATTTTTTAAAGAGAGGAGGAGACCATGGCACTCTGCACAAGCGTAATGGCACACTTTCCTACGTTAGTTCTGCACAAGTCCTAATGTAACGAAAACAGCAAGGTGAAAAATTGCAGCCCTACCAAGTGAAAATGTTACCAGCTGCCCCTGACATGCATGTATAGTTTTCTGCCTGGGTGTCATTTCTGAAAATGCAGCCTGTTTTTAATTTGACCTTAGCATTTCAATTCGTTTTGTCCTGGCATTTGTTTAGCAGCTATAATTCAGGAGTCTATCACAATGCCAAATTCATCTCCTCTTAAGGTTGCAGAGAACCCTCACAATTAAATCATTAATTGGCACACAAAGTACCCTCTGATCGCACATTGTTCCCTGGGGGATCGCCAAGTTTTACTGCATGCTATTCAACCGTGGTTTTAATAATGGTGTAATCCTACCCTGATCACAGCTAGTATGTCTAACATCTTAAGCACACTAAAACGATTCATTAAACAATCCCATAACTTCTCCTGCACCCATAACCATAAGTAGGTTATTTATTTTACTGCCAGAAACTTCAAAGACATGGAAGAGTAGGTCATGCTTGCTAGTTCAATTGGTACAGAAAACTGCCTTGTGCAACAGGAAGAACTCCTGTGAATCTTAATTCATTTAGGCTGTTCGAGTATCTGGAGGCTTAACATGATTGCCATGCTATTTGGAAGGACAAATCAGTCAATCAATATTGGTGAGAGATATGTTTTTCTTTCTTCCCTGGTAAAGGCGCTGCCCTTCTGAATTGCAGAAGGCTCCCTGTCATTTTGCTTGAACATTCAGAACAGGGTAAACTGTAAATTTAACACAAGCAGCAGCAGCTGCTGCTGCTGCCGCTGTTGCAAAAGCGAGTTCAAGAGACATTTCCCTTACTTGCCGCTTGCTCCTTTGAGCAATGTAATCAGTCTTAGCATTATCACATTCACTTTACATTTACCCTTTAGGCTGATTTTTTTTCCCCTTTAGAAAAAAAAAGAAGAAATCAAATCACAGCCACACAAGGGCGCCAGGCAGAATTACGATGACTTTCTTGCTAGTGCCTGCATTACATTTATATTAGAGTGCTCAGTCTAATCTTTCTCTCTTTACTACTTACATACTTACTGTCAGGAAGGAAAGGAAGGTTGGAAGGGGAATTGGAGGTAATTCAATCCAGTGCCCTGAACTGTGGGATACCTTCTCACCTGAGCATCCTTACCGATCTGCTCTCGTAATAGAATTCCATCCTCTCTGTATCTCCTATTTTCACCATAATCCTGTGATACAGGAAACGTTCAAATAAGGAACAGGAACAAAAAGTGGCAAGCCGCAGAAATAATGTGCTTCCTCCTCCCCCCCCCCCACCATGCTCAAGAGGCAGATTAGAAACTTCCGCTTCTCATAATTTGAATTTTTGTCCAAAGGCAGCCAGCTAATCATTTGGCCTCAAGATAGAAACCCATCTTGGGATATTTGGAAATGATGCTCTTCTTGCAATTTTTAAACTTTGTTATTCATTACCTCCAATTATTCATTTGTATTGTTATAAA